CAGAACTGTATATAATACACATTACACATTTTTCAAAGTATTTTCTTTTAGATGACGGATGACCAGGGCAACTCGTTATTACTCCCTTTTCTTTCTCTTACATGACATTTCATCTTTGAGTTTATGGGTGGGTTCACACTTTGTGGGTTTGGTTAAAGTAAAACCACTTTGGTGCGATAACTCTTGGGGGCTTTCACACTGGCAGTTTAGTTCAGAACGGGGCACGGTTCGCATGAAAAATCGCTAATGTGAGCGCTGTCATGGAATCTGGGTGCGCACTGGGGTACCGAACCCGAGACTACCTGGAGTAGGTGGTCTGAGTTCGGTTGCTTCCAAACCGTGCCGTGGTTCGCTTGAATTTCATTTCATTCATTCATTTTTCATTTTATTGTTTATTTTTACAGGGACAATGCACAATTAAAAGTAATTGCACCAGAATTAGCTAATAGCTAGTTTACATCTGCTGTCTCTGTGAAATGTGAAAGCAACACGGATTCGGGCATGATAGTGTTGATGATTTACCTTTGATACGAATGAGAGTGAGTCTACAGTGTATTCGTGCATTGCGCATGGAATCAGAGCAACACATTTGGAAATCCACTGTCTCCTCAAAAGAGTCCGTTTGCAAGCAGCGAAGTCCACCTTATGTGACACATGCACAGTGAACCTGTATTGTTAACTTAACTGCTCACAATAGCAGCAAATTAATAAAAATACACAATATTTACCCACTTTCTGCTTTCTATCATGCGACGTGCACGTTTGCGATGACGTAAGATGCACGCAAACGCACCAGGGTTCGATAGAATCAAGTTGAGTGTAAAACCAGACCAACGCTGCGGGGGGCCAGGCGCCAGGAACAAACGCGCTCGGGCACGGACCGCAGCAAACGAGCCCAGTGTAAAGGCCAATTTATACTTCTGCGTCGAGGGTACGCCGTTGGCTACGCACGTAGGCGACGCCGTTGTGAGCATTTATACTTCTGCGTTCAGGTCTTGGTTGCTCTGCAGTACTGCTCCGAAACGCTAGTTGGCGGCGGAGGGTTTTAATGTTCCACTGTGTTTAGATTCCTCGCAGCTAGGTTACTACAAGCAATAGCGACTGAAAGAGAGCTGATCATGTTGGAGTTGGAGCTTATTGAGGTGGAAAAACAGTTAATTTTAGTGAAATTACAAAAACTGAAAGGCAGAAATGAGAGAAGACGTCGGAGGAGATGGTATGTGCGGAAATGCGTGAGGTACGTGCAGAAATGCGTAGGAGGAAATGCGATGCTACCAAGCCGACCAATCACTGATCTTGCGGTCCGCGTCATGTAGTTACATTTTTGAAGAGGTGCGCGTCAGGCTACGGTGAAGGGTACGAGATATGGGACGCGTCTGTGCGTATGCAACGGCTTAAGGCCAATTTATACTTCTGCGTTGAGGGTACGCCGTAGTGCACGTGCGTAGCCAACGCCGTTGTGAGCATTTATACTTCTGCGTTCAGGTCTTGGTTGCTCTGCAGTACTGCTCCGAAACGCTAGTTGGCGGCGGAGGGTTTTAATGTTCCACTGTGTTTAGATTCCTCACGGCTAGGTTACTACAAGCAATATCGACTGAAAGAGAGCTGATCATGTTGGAGTTGGAGCTTATTGAGGTGGAAAAACAGTTCACTTTAGTGAAATTACTAAAACTGAAAGGCAGAAATGACAGAAGACGTCGGAGGAGATGGTACGTGTGGAAATCATAGACAGTGGTGGAAATGCGTGAGAAGGTACGTGCGGAAATGCGTAGGAGGAAATGCGATGCTACCAAGCAGACCAATCACCTATCTTGCGGTCCGCGTCGTCGCGACGTGTAGTTACATTTTTGAAGAGGTGCGCGTCAGGCGACGGCGAAGGGTATGGGACGCGTCTGTGCGTATGCTACGCCGTCCCTACTGCGCGCACCCTACGCAGAAGTATAAATTGGCCTTTACCTACTGCGCACACCCTACGCAGAAGTATAAATTGGCCTTAAAAGTCCCCTTAAGGCCTGTTCACACTGGGACGAATTTCGCACGCGTTATTCGCCAACGTTTAACGCCTCGAGACTTAACAAAGGGCGCCAATGTGAGTGTTCACATCGACGCATAAAACGCCACGCGTAAAAGCGTCATTTTTAAAAAAAATAAATAAAAAAAACGCCTCAGGTTAGTTTTTTTTAGTTTGACGCACTGCTTCAAAAACTATCTGACCAATGAAATTGTCGCTTTTGCTCATGTGTTTGGAGCTTCTTAAGTTACAGTAAAACACAACTTGGGGGCGCTCAAACACAAAACGGTCTTGCCGAGCACACAACTGCAACGGTGAAGAAGATATACGCGTCGCCGTCTACACAGCCAGGAAGAAATAAGACGAGGAAGATGCAAGGCAAGATGAATGTAGAGCTGGTGTTCTCTTTGGTGCTAGAACATAAAGAACTATATGACAAACGTGACGGGGACTACAAACATCTTGAGAAAAGATAACTGTTATGGAGTGGTATTGCTTGGCAAATGGGCGCCATCTAATGTGGAATCAATTTGCATGTTCACTCGGCTCATCATCAGTGAAAATCGCTTGGGTGTGAACAGAAAAAACACATTGAAAAACGCTGACGAATGACGCGCGCATGCGTCCCGTTGTGTACGGGCCTTTAGAGTGCTTTCACACTTGGTTTCTATTGCCTGGTCCGAACATGAGTACGATTGCTCCCCTCTCCCTCTGTGCCCGCTGGACTGTGTTCACATTATATTATTTGGTTCCTATCCGTGGCGCGTTTCCATATCAACAGCGAACAGTACCTAAGTTCACATGAACCATACCCCAGACCGGAAAACAGCGTTCACATCCATCCAAACAAACCGAACTCTGAATCAATCCATTGAACCCAGTGTGAAATCACTAGTGTAAAAGCGCCCGTTGTGCGTTTCAAATGAAAAAAGTGTGATTGTTGCCATACAAATATTTGTATGCATCAAACAAGCGGACTGAGACCCCTGAAAAGGTGATCCAAACAAACTCTGATGTGGTTTGACTGAAATATGAACGCAACACGGAGCGAAGAACACACCTTAAAAGACTTTATATTTAATGTATCTATGAATATTGCAGTTGTCCTTGTGTTAGGGTTACTGCTTATGAAGACTGTTTCCAAAGGGACTAAGTATGTGCTGCTGAGTTTGGTAGGTGTGTGCGCATGTGCTTGTTTGTGTGTGGTCACACTACTCCTTAATCACTTGTTCTCGCATCTATCTAATCAATTCTCTGTCATTCTCTTTTCCGGCAGGGAGGGAGATTGATCTTCAGGAGTCGCCCCACACTCGTTACAATGTTCTCACTCTTCATTAACACCACCATTAGTCTCACATTGTTACACTTTAACACAACAACACAAACAACACTTCGGCTGCACCACATATGGAGAGAGTGGAATAGACTATAGTATGCCACTTGGGAAGATTGACTCACATGTGCATTCATAAACAAATAGATATATACAGATAGATACTGTATATGATGGCGAAAAACAGTCAGCATATATACAGTATCTATATATCTATTTGTTTATGAATGCACATACTATAGTCTATTTCACAAAACAGTAGTTTTATTTGACATTTAATTTTTTTATTTCGCTGACAACTTACAAATGAGGAATATCAAAATTTGTAATAATAAGCAAAAATATGTATAGTACACAATGCAAAGCACAAAGAAATATAAATGAATTAGTACACGAGCAAGAGTGGAACTGAACAAGATTGATTTTTTTTTTTTGTCTGGGATTTAAAATCTAATTTGTAAAAGTTATGACCTACAATGTTCTATGCCTGTGTGATATCATTAGTAATCATAGGTATTCATGTATAAAGTGTGAAAATCACTGAAACTTCATAGAATTTATGGAATGAATAGGTTTTCACTATCAAGTACCCACAACAATGATGAGAATGGGATTATTATGATAAGAACAGGTTGTATGAAATATGGGGTGGGGTGTGAATGTTGAGGTTCTTCACCGTGGAAACTCAGGCCCCGCCCACACTACTGCGTTTTCGCTAAACGAAGACCTAAAACGGAGAAGTTTAAAAACGCTGCAGCTCCGTTTTGCTTTTTGAATTTCTGGAGGGCGTTTTAGTTAAATCGGGACAAACCGGAAGACTTTAGAAATGATGATGCAGAGGCTCAAGCTCGGCTCTATGATTGGGTGTCATCAGTCGTGACCCGTCCCCGTAAAAAAAAAAAAGAAAAATACAAAAACAACCTCGTCGTCGGCACGCGCATGCTCAGTGTTGGTGAATGGTCACGTGATCCGCGTTTTCAGTCGTTTTAATGTGGACAGAGATCAATTCTAACACGCAGATAAAACGCTGGTGTGGACGGAGATCGTATTCGTTTTAATTCTCCGTTTTTAAACGAAAACGCAGTAGTGTGGACTTGGCCTCAGAGCAAGGTAGTAAGCCATGTGGTTGAAACCCCCCCGATGCAGCCTGTGGAGCAAAGAGAGGATATTTCAAGATAGAAAGTGGGGGAAGGGGTTGAAGGGATGAGTTATGAGGGCAGGGTGGGTGGTTTCAAGACAAAAAGTGTTGTGAAGGTTGGTTTAGTATAAATATGTAATAAGCTAATTAGTTGAGGTGTGGCCTTGCTCTTAGTTAACTTCTTAACAAACTGCATACAATATGCATTTGTGTAACAAACTTGTGGAGTGTACAGACCAACTGCAAAGCAATCTCATATCCTTGGATCCTACAGCATATAGGCACGTTTACACCTGCTGAGTAAAAGATGAAGTAAGAACAAAGAGAGGTAGACAGCTGAGACAGTGAGTGGCCACTGTAAGTGGATGTAACAACCTGCTGCTGTGAGAGAAATAAAAGCTAGTGTGGGTTGGGACGGCTCTTCTCCGCTGAAGGGGAAATAACCCCTGCCTTCTCAGCTCATATAATATTAAATATATCTCCTTTCACTTCTCTCTTTCCCCTCCTCTTTCTTGTAGGGCATATAGAGAGGGCAGCATTCATACACCCTGTCTTTCATATCAGCTCTCTCTCCGGTTCCCTCACTCTCTCCATCGCTCTCTTTCCCGGAGTGTGCGAGAGGAGTTCAGGCAGCAGCTACGTCAGCCGCCAGCGAGCAGCTGAGGAGAGCTGTGGAACTCGCATGTATGTGTGTGTGTGTGTGTCTCTCTCTCTCTCATCCTTCTCTCAGAGTCTCCAGCTCATACCTCTACTCTCTCTGGAGTCTACGGCTGTGGCACATCCTGGGGCACTGACACGGCGAACGAAGCGCCTCCTCTCACCATCTGCACTCTGCTCCTCAAACAGCAGCAGACCACAGCACAAACCAAGGAGAAAGTAGAAGCAAAGGATGGAAGAGATGAAGAGAGAGATGAGAATCTGAGGGAAAAGTGCAGAGGTAGGAGAGACTGACTGAGAGTAGTTGGGCAGAGTAGAAAAAGTGTGTAAAGAAATAGTATTGGAAGCAAGAAACAGAGATGAAGTGAGGAAAGCAGAGCTGATAGAGAAAAAGATCAGTGGTGATACCTAATGAGATTAATATTTGTTATAAATAGGACGCGGTGGAGAGCATAACAACCTTGGAGGAAGAAGATTTCGGGAAAAATTGCGGCAGAATAGCTGGCGAAACGGAAAAGAGCAAAGGCTCAGGGAAAGATTAGCAATTTTCAAAGGGCTCTTCACACGCCGCCCTGGCCAACCACATGCCCATCGAATTTGTTTGTAAAATAAAGTTTGCTGAGGGCGACGAAGCCAAGGGGGCCTCGACAGACGGAGGCGGAGCCGGCATGCTAGATGAAGGCCTACGGCGGCGAAAAGGAGGCATGGCTGACCTGTCGTCCTTTGCTAGCTCATCTTCGCTACACGGTCTGGCTCGGGTATTGGGGACGTCAGGACGCTTGGGCTTCAGACAGACCCTCTGGGGACTGGCACTGTTGGTCTCACTCTGCCTCTTCCTGTACCAGGCGACATGGAGCGCGGCAGCTTATCTGGAGCATCCCCACCTCGCGTCACTGAGGGAAGAAACCCACCGTGAGCTCACCTTCCCGGCCATCACACTCTGTAACGTCAACCGATTCCGCTTCTCTGCCCTCACAGATGCGGATATCTACCACTTGACTAACCTCACCGGCCTGCCGCCAAAGAGCCGTAGAGGACACCGGCCGAGTGAGCTCCAGTACCCACCCCCAGACATGCTAGACATTTTCCAGCGCACTGGCCACCAGTTGGAGGACATGCTGAAGAGCTGCAATTTCAGCGGGCAGAACTGCTCAAGCGAAGACTTCAGTGTGGTGAGTGGCGCAAGCTGTGTATGGCTACCAGATGTAAAAAAGATAGAATTGTGATGGGATAAGGACATTTGTTTGGCTTGAAAGTCTTCTCTTTGTATGGCTTTCTTTGTTTGGTGACTTTGAGGAATGTTTCACAATGCCTCCTTTAGTCTTTTCAGTATGAGAGACAGCTAACAGCAATGATTTGTGAGGAAAGAGGAAATGAATCCCTATCCGTCTGTGTCTAACCTCCACGCTGGGGCAACAGACTGTAGTCTGCATCTCAATTTGAGATCTGCCACTTTCTAGATCCCTTTCTTTTCCAGTTACATCATAGTCTGTCCCATCTGATGCTGAGTCTTATTTTGGCCAAAGAATGGATGAAAAATTCAGGAGAGGGACAAGCGACATGATTCCTGCATTAGCCCAGTCAGCCTCGAGGAGACACGCTCAACTCTTAAAAGAAAGTTCCCTTGCTTACATTGACATTTTTTTGTTTGTCAAGATGGTGTGATTCTTTTCGGTTTTGCTTTCGTAGCTGTAATTTCAGTCAGTAATTTCCTCTTAGGGCTCATTCTACACAGGATCAGATAAGAGAGATTTTTCGTGATATAGACCATGAGAGTTCTGTCAATGATATCAGCTCTCTCTGAGTTTGAGCCCTCCTTTACTCCTTTTCTCTGTTAGTAGTGGTTTCTTGTAGTTTTGAAATATAATCATTAAATCATATGATTTTATGATAGTGATGGCTTAGGCAGGTGATTTACTGCATTATCCTGTACACAAAGTTTGCCAGTATGTATAATGTATGGTTGTGCATGGCTGCATTTTTGTGCTAATTGCTGACAGATAGTCTGTTTGTCAGTGATTGACATTGTAACCTGCCCTTATAAAAATATTTTCCCATTTGCATTTAAAAGAGCTATATCCTAACATCCTACAAATATACAGTTTTTCAAATAAAGTGCACATTTAACTCTAAATTTTCTAAAACCATCTAATTTAAAAGTGTATTTTAATTTTAAGTTTTATTATCTTTATGTTTTATTTGTAGCATATTATAAGAAAATTATTATATATGTAGTATATCATTCTTGCCTCAAGAATAATAAAAAAAGATTTTGTGGCTTCCTATCCACATTTTGATGCGAAAGTCTGACAGTTACTGTCCATATGTATTTCTTTGGCTTGATTTGCTCTTGTAGATAAAATCATGCAATGATCATCAGTTCCTACAGAACTTCCCAATTCTGAAGTCATAATTTCGAGCTTAAACACCAGGTTTGTTCTTGGAGGAAAATTATTAAAGCCAGATTGAACATATTTGAATTAAATAATGAAATATACTTTATAGTCGCCAGTAGGAACATTTAGTGTGGACTTAGTATTCAACATTTCTACATCACACATTACTACCTAGTAGTAAATATGACTTGAGAGGGCAATCATGTCCAATTTCCAAGTAAGAAACCCGTATTTACAATGATTCCGATAGCATGTGAAGGCAGAATTACATTAGTACATTGGGATTTTACCCCTTTATCATGTTGCAATTGCTAAAACTGCTGCAGTTGTAGTGTTATTCACTTGCCAAACCCCATTTTTATATGCATTTGGTGTTTGTTAGTTTTCAATTTTGTGCTTCGTTTTATTGTTGACATTCCATTTAGTTAAACGTTTCATGCTCTTTGATATATAAGAAGCCACTGGCAGCTGTGATCTCTCTCTGTGATGTCTTCAGATCTTGAGCCATCCTTATTAGGCTCCTTTGTTGCTCGGTTATGATTTCCTGTTTTGTCAAGAGGTTGTGCAGCAGTGCCAAAATACATTTAGTAGTAAGGTACCTGTGAGTTTAACACATCATAGTTTTGACATAAAACCCTTATGTTCTGACATTGCAACATTAAAGTCTGTGGAATTTGAGGTTGCTTGATGCAATAATGCACGTAGACATAGAAATTAAGTAGTGCTACAATGGTATGTTATTTAAAAATATAAATGCATGCTAAATGAATTTTAGTGTCTGTAAATTAGTGCTTTAAAGGGGACATATCATGAAAAATCCACTTTTTAGCCCTTAAAGATTTAGTTCACCCAAAAATGAAAATTCTGTCAGTAATTACTCACCCTCATGTTGTTCCAACCCCGTAAGACCTTCGTTCATCTTCGGAACACAAATTAAGATATTTTTGATGAAATCTGGATAACTCCTGCATACTAGAAAATAGGCTTCTTGTGAAACTTGCCATCCTCGAAAAATTGTTAAAGACATCGTTAAAATAGTCCAAGTGACTTCAGTGGCTCAATCTTAACTTTATCAAGCGACGAGAATACTTTTTGTGTGCAAAAACAAACAAAAATAATGACTTTATTTCAACTATTCACTTCCTTCTCTATGCGCCTCTAGTTAGTTAACGTAGTGTGATAGCGTAGAGCTACGTCACACGTAGGCTCACTATTGGTCGACGCTGGTCATGTGTGTGATGCGTGTGACGTACAATAACAGAAGCTTACGTTATTAAACTAGTAACCTGACTCGAGGCAGAGAGAGAAGTAAATGAATAGTTGAAATAAAGTCGTTATTTTTGTTGTTTTTTGCGCACAAAAAGTGTTCTTGTCATTTGATAAACTTAAGATTGAGCCACTGTAGTCACTTGGACTATTTTAACGATGTCTTTAATAACTTTTCAAGGCCAGCAAGTTTCAATTCATCAAGAAGCCTATGGACTAGCATGGAGGAGTGATCCAGCTCTCAGATTTCATCAAAAATATCTTAATTTGTGTTCTGGAGATGAACGAAGGTCTTACTGGGTTGGAACAACATGAGGGTGAGTAATTACTGACAGAATTTTCATTTTTGGGTGAATTAAATGCATTTTGTTGTATATTTGGAGTGTTTATAAGTACAGAAAAGATGAAATTATTCTCTTCAGGTGCTTCGTTTATATCTTTATATTCTGTTTTGGTCATATTTTTCAACCGGTTCCGAGTTTTCTGTTCTCTATGACGTTTTTTTGAACAATTACGTCACAGTATTTGCAGCGGAACTGACAAATAGGACTTTGACTACCGGCCCAACACTTCGAGCAATCCGCCATTATTATTTCTCGCTCCGATTTTGCTGTCCAAGCTCAATGATGCAGAAGTTACGAGAGGGCAAGTCAAAATGTTCGGTTGTTGGATGTAGTGACCTGAAGCACTTCAAGGATTCCCACTTCAACAACCTCCGCCAGTATAAAGAGGGTTTGCCGATCGTCTTCGCCTGAATGAGGGGTCAATTCCTTCTATCTTAGGAGACGACAAACAGAGCATTTCGATAAGCTGTAACTTAAATATCGTTAATAAAAATAAAGTACTTTACTATCTTAAAAACATGGTGGTCATGGTTTAGCAGTACCTTTGTCTTTCTTTGTTTTTGTTTTGAAGTAACGTTACACGTCTGCAGTATTATTGTTCTTGAGTTTCATCAATGGTCATTTAGCTGCTGTATTTTCTAATGCTTTTCTAAACGTATCATATTATCAATACAGATTTTTAGTGGTAAGATTAAACCTTAGTCATTTATCTTGTTAGTGTGCTTGTTTTAACAAGAGAAATAGTCGACACTTATAACACAATACAGTTACATCGCACTGCATCCATATGAAGACGTTGTTCTGCAGCTTCGTCGTCGTCTTTTTCAAATCGCTCTCTCTGGATCGCACATGTAAGGCTTGAAGGACAAGTCCTCCGTTGTTGACATTTTGTTAACATGTGAATTAAAATGTTCTTTGAAGCTATAGTATATAATCGTATATCTCTAATCAAACTACAAAAATGGCCGTTGAACCGACCATGAACTCAGCGACCTGGAGAGTGGGCGGGGAATGACACATCTCCTTTTTATTGAAAGGGACAGCTTAAAAACAGGTTGCTCACAGACGCACATCAGAAAAGGGGTAGAAAAGGGGCCTGGAGCTATAATAATGAGGAATTCCGATCCAAGCATTGCAGTTATGCTTTATATAGACCACCAATGTTTGATTTATTTGTAAAAATGAATGATTTAAAAGCATGATATGTACCCTTTAAATGGAAGGAAGTAACATGTAAGATGAGAAAGACTGAACATAAGTATATTCTGTTGTCAATACAGTCATTTGCTTACGTTGTTGTGCCATTATTGGAATGAGTTAGGCTATGCCAGCCAGTCTGTTTTAAAATGTACCTACCTGTCATGTAAAACATGAACAGTGACTTATGGTTTTGATACAGTATTGGGTCAGCCTTTTCCTGTCGAAGTGGACAGTTCTCTGTGAGAATAGTACTTAGGTTAGTATATATACTGTAGGTTACAATTTATTTTGATGGTCCACTTTAGATAGTGCACTACTGGAACCCCTCCGATTCTACTCACACCGCCGCTCCAAGTGGGATTCAAACCGGCTCTTTCTAGCCATCCTCTGTTACACTTAACCCACTAAACCTCACTCTCATATGGGTCACGGTTAAAATATAACCCCTTTCGGTTCTACTCGTACTCGCAAGCAGGAACAAGTTTCTGAGATGGTTCATTTCAACCATTGAAACATTTTTCCTTCATTTTTGTAGAGATTTGAGATGGACCTCTCTCTACAAGTCACACACAAGTTACAAGTTTATCTATCTTGTCTCTCCTTTCTCCAGGGATCATAATGGCCCTTTTATGGCTCTAACACAACAATTGAGCCTGTCTAGTTGTCCATCTGAAGCGATTAGAGAACCTCCAAAATCATTATTTTGTTTAAGTACCAAAAATAAGCAGCTACATAGGCTTAAGGGCCACAAGCTGTGTTTTGACTCCCTCACCAATCAATAAAAAAGTGGGTTTAATCAATCCTTCTGCAATCCATCTGGCACAGCTAAAGCACAACCATTAGGCCTATATCAATATATCAATGAGAAGCTAATAACTATGCGGAGTTCAAACAGAATCAGTCTTTAACTTTTTCTTGATTCTATGACATTAATTTTCTTAAACATTCCAACATTCCAACAACCAG